GCAAGTGCTAGGGACGAAGGGGAAGATTTTTATCATGAAAGGGCAAAAGAATTAAACAGTACCGCTATAAGCTCGTTCATCGCCGGTTTACCTTCACATTACGCACATCGAGTATGTTTCAACTATCCTAATACACTGAATCAGGCAATTAATGAAGCATTCAAAGCCGCAAAATTATTTGGCGCTGAAAATTTTGCGCATGTGCCTTATGCGCATCCACCTCGTCCTCCCACCCCTTACGACGTAAACCGTGGATGGACGGAATGGCGAGAACCCCGCGATGAACCAGATTACGAATTACCTCGTAGCGCGTATACAGCACACAATTTCTCCTCTCCGGAAAGAGTCGCGCAAATACCAGGTTCCACACATACCGTAGGATGCCAATGCAATTGTCAATGCAAGGGGAGGCGTCGTAGAGGTAAACCTCGGTATAATACGCAAGCAAAACGCGAATCTTCTTCTGACCATCGCGAGCCTTTAAACTACAATCGCGCCCGCTCTCAAGAGAGGAGCGAAGCGGGCGCGTCAGCCTCGTCGGCTCAGAGGAATCGGATCTTCCAATCAAACAGGAAACCCCCTTTCTCGCGCATGCACCGTCCCCCCGGATCCGGATCAAGGCTAAACAACTGGAAGAAGGGGAAGGCGAATTTCTAGTAGACTCTGGCGCTGTTTTAAATTTAATCACCATAGAAGCAATTCACCCTAATGCACCTATCGTCAATAAAGACGAAATTTCCGTAAAGAGCCTCAATGGATGAATTACCACCCTAGGAGCCACTTGTATGAAAGTTAACGGAAGTTAGGCATTATTCTATGTTGTTGACATACCGGATTTACCGTGGGGAATATGCGGTCTAATTGGCAGTTCATATCTCCTCCAAGAGGAAGCCGTTGTATCATATCATTATCGCACTCTAGTAACGGCAAATCGTCCAATACATCCCGTTCCATTTTCAAACTCGAAGGAATTAGAAAACGTACTAGCCTTACATCATCGTAATCAAGAAACTCTTCAAATTTATCTCGCGCAACATCCAGAACTGGATAGCGAAGAACTGGACCAACCTCCACAGCTCGATGATAGTTCCGAGAGCAATTTATCTCCTCCTTCTGAGGAAACACTCTTCGCGCATGAAGATAGCGATTTAGGGGAATACGAAGTTTTGCCCACGCCGGTTACAGAACGACCAGCTACAATCCGGAAGACGTTGAAGCTCGAACAATTCAGCGACGAATCACGCGCACTAGTCGAACGCTCCGTCCAAAAGTACGCGGATAGAGTTTTCGTTCCCGGTGACCCACTGGCAAGAACCGACACGATGGCGCACACCATCCTAACTACGGATGAGACTCCCGTCTTTACTCGGCAGTATCCTTTTCCGCCCACACAAGAAGAGGAAGTGAGAAAACAGGTCCGCAATTTGGAAAATTTAGGCATTATTGTTCCATCAAGATCACCTTACAATTCTCCGCTTTGGGTCGTTCGCTTTTCGTCGATGACAAGTACCCCCTCCCAAGGATCACCGATATTCTGGACCGGTTGGGCGGCGCAAGATACTTCTCCGTATTTGATTTAGCAAACGGATTCCATCAAATACCTATGGCAAAAGAAGATCGAAGTAAAACCGCTTTTTCCACTCCCGAGGGTCATTACGAATTCGTACGCATGCCATTCGGTTTAAAAAATGCCCCAGCCACTTTCCAACGGCTAATGAACGAGGTACTCAAAGGTCTAATCGGCAAGGAACTATACGTATACTTGGATGACGTCGTCGTATACTCCGACACTCTTGAAGAACACGGCCGCCGACTAAGCAACTTTTTCGAACGTCTTAGGAAACATAATCTCACCTTGCAAACAGGCAAAGCCGATTTTCTAAAACACGAAGTCGCGTATTTAGGTCATGTTATTTCGGCAGAAGGCGTAAGACCAAATCCTGATAAAATACGCGCGGTTTCAGAATTTCCGGTACCAAAAACCAGGAAATCCGTTAAACAGTTCCTAGGAATAGTAAATTATTATCGTCGTTTCATTCCAAATCCAGCAAAGAGAGTGAGACCGTTGACTAATTTAACAAGCACTAAAATTCCATTCGTATGGACGGACGCAAACCAGGAAAGTTTCGAAGATCTCAGACAAGGTCTTTGCAAAGAACCTGTCTTGAGGTACCCAAATTTCGATAATCCGTTCATTATAACTACGGATGCATGAGATGTAGCGACCGGAGCTATTTTAAGTCAAGGCAAAATAGGAGAAGATCCTCCGATTGCTTACGCATCTCAAGTGCTTACGCCATGTCAACAAAATTATTCCACTACGGAAAAGGAATGCCTCGCTATAGTAAACGCAGTGAAGCAACTTAGAACCTACATTTACGGTCGAAAATTTACTCTCGTGACGGACCATCGTCCATTGCAATGGTTATTCTCAATTAAGGATCCTACATCGCGCCTCGCACGTTGGAGAATTTTACTCGCTGATTACGACTACGAGATTGTATACAAGCCCGGACGCGTAAACGCGAATGCAGACGCATTATCACGAAACGACTAGCACAACGAGTACGAAGTCGACATCAGAATCTCCCTAGACCAAACTACGAGGAACCACCATCCCCCTGATCCTAGAGGAAACCGAAGATTCGATACACCCCGACGACATAGACGACCTTCTTCCTCACGATTATCTGGACGACGCACCCGAAGCAAATTCTACTGGCATAGAAACACCACTCTTAGGCGAACAAGAATTCAATGCTACGGAAGACGTCTCCCGACCAGGAAGTGTTCAGCAGAACCGAGAGGGTAACAACAATCTTCCACCGCGTCTCACCACAGAAGAAATCACGTGTCTTCAAAGCCTGGATCAGGCAGAACTACCAAATAGCGAAGACTCGATCGGTAACGCGAAAACCCAACCTTCAGTTGCAAAAAAACGTGTCTCGTGGTTTTTACCACCTCCAACGGACTTATTAGGGGTACCACAGTCAACCATGGTCTTCACCGGACCGGACGAATCTGAACTAATAAGAAGAAATACATCGGATGAACAAAGTACTACCGCTCATTCCGTTAAAGAAAATAAAGAAGTAAAATTCGACACATTTATAGATTCATATGAACCTTCGTATCTACCGCAATCTCAGAATCAAAATGCTTCTTCGAAATTCAATTCTTCGAAACGATGTGAAATTTTGGTTTTTAAAACAACCTTAACGACAGAACCAGACAACTACGCGCATTTTATTTCCGCCGATCGAATATTAACAAGCGGAAATTGTAAAACCCTAAAGGAACTCGGACTCTTAGAAGAAACTGTATTAATCACCGAAGATCTAAAACAGGGGCGCGTAATTGTAACCCTCAACAACGAAGGGAAGGTTTTTAGCATCGTGGGAACCAGAAATTTCTTCCACGAAATGGGAATTTCGGAACTGTCGCATTCACTTTCTGCTTTTAAAGAATCAATGAAAACAGAGAAAATAACTTCAATTCGCATAGCTGCACATGGTGAAACTCTCCATCACTTCGATCACAAAATTCTCCAGAAACTTTTAACCGAAATCTTTTGGGAACAGCCCGTAAAAATCACAATATGTACTGGCGAAATTCAGGAACCCCCAAAAGATGAACGGGAAGGCATTATTCGACATTATCACGAAAGTCTGATAGGAGGACACAAAGGAGTCACGAAGACCTACCGACGGCTTTGAAGTCTATTCGACTGGCCAAAAATGCGACGAGACGTAGAAGATTTCATACGACACTGTTGCCAGGAACAGAAACTTGTACGCATTAAAACTCGAGAACCGATGTTGATTACCGACACCCCTGCAAAACCCTTTGACAAAATTGCATTCGACACGATAGGGCCGCTTCCGGTAACACCTAGTGGAAACCGTCATATATTAACAATTGAATACCAACTTTCAAAATTCTGCATGGCTATCCTGTTGCCCGACATACGAGCGATCACGGTTGCTGACGCTATCTCGCGATATTTTATTACCGTCTTCGGAGCGCCGCGAGCGATACTCACTGACCGCGGTACAACATTCGTTAATAATATAATGCAAGGAATCGCAAAAGTTTTTCGTATTAATCACGTAACCACCTCTGGTTACCGTCCGCAAACAAATGGCTCTCTGGAAAGAAGTCATATCGTTCTAATAGAATATTTAAAACATTATTTAGAGAAATACGAGGATTGGGATCTTTATATACCCTTCGCGACATATTTATATAATACATCGGTACACGAAGCAACGAACTTCACTCCGTACGAGGTAGTTTTCGGTCAATTAGCTAGAGACCCCTTCACCCCGATGTCTCGCGAAGAGCTCCTAACATATCCCATATACGTTCAAAATTTAGTAGGACGATTGGACGAAATTCATAATTTAACTGTGTAAAATTTAGAGAACAGCAAGGCTCGATCAAAATTAAATTATGATCGGAAAAGCAACCAAGTAACTTTTTCGCCGAATGACCTTGTCTACGTATTGAAGGAACCTCGTCTATCAAAATTCGATCAACATTACGAGGGTCCTTACAGAATTTGCGAAATTTCAGAACAAAATAATGCGATTTTATTGGCAGGAAACGGTAAGAAAATTGCGAAACACTTGGACAAGCTGAAGCATGCTTACGTTAGGTTGAAACCTCCTTGACGACCCACATCGCGAAGGACGGTCACTCAACTCAGAAAGTTAGTAAATTGCAACGGTCAGCATGGTTCGTTCAGAGGTCGACGCTGTTAAACATCCATTCCAATTTCCTAACAAAATTCCTCACTCTCCTTCCTATGTATTGGGTCAGTGTAAAAGTAAATCGTGCCCGATTTTCATAGATGTCGTTCGGAGAGTTGTATGCTAGTGCCATCTACTGTTACGTGTGCATATTATATATCGGTGGAAAAGTAGGATATTCAACTGTCATTTGAACACAAGACTTGTGTGCTGTGTTTGAATTTACGTGGTAGAAAAAAACATTTGAATATGAGCGCAGAAAAGGTGCATTTACGGCATGTCTTGCTTTATGAGTTTCGGAAGGGTGTAGCAGTTGGGACCGCTGTAAAAAACATTCGAGACGTCTATCAGGACTGTGCACCAGCAATTCGAACCGTTAAGAAATGGTTTGCGAAATTTAGACGTAGCGATTTCAATCTTGATGATGCGCCACGCTCTGGCCGATCTTCTGGCATAGATGATAATATTGTGCACAATTTAGTGCAAACTAATTCAAGAATTTCAACCGAAGAGATTGCTCAGAGACTCAAGGTTGACAGGTCGACCGCATTTCGACATTTAAAAAAAATTGGGTACACACAGAAGCTTGATGTATGGGTGCCTCATTTGCTTACCGAAGCGAACAAATTGAATCGAGTTTCTGCAGCTGTTTCTTTGCTTGGCCGACTAAATAATGAGCCGTTTTTGGATCGACTGATGACTGGTGACGAAAAATGGGTTCTCTATGATAATGTTCAACGTAAACGAACTTGGAAAGTTGCAAACGAGCGTGCAGAACTAATAGCAAAACCCAATTTGCATCCTGCGAAAGTGATGCTTTCTGTTTGGTGGGATTGCCAAGGAATACTGTACTTTGAGCTATTGCCCGCTGGTCAAACGATTGATTCCGAGAAATACTGTCAACAATTAGAAAATTTAAAGACAGCAATCCAGGCGAGGCGTCCAAGTCTGGTCAATCGTAAGGGAGTTGTTTTTCATCAGGACAACGCAAAACCGCACACTGCAAAACGAACCTTAGCAAAACTAAAGGAACTGAAATGGGATGGAATATTACATCCGCCGTATTCTCCAGATATCGCACCATCAGATTATTACTTGTTTTGATCATTATAAAACGATCTGAATGGAAAAAAATTCACATCTTTGGAAGCCGTCAAAAATCACATTTCTTCTTTTTTCAATTCAAAACCGAAGTCGTTTTATGATCGAGGCATCAGAATGCTACCAGAACGTTGGGAAAAGATCGTAGAAAACAATGGCAATTACATAATTGATTAATAAAAAAATTTCATGCTCCAAATTATTACTCGAGTTTTAATGAGAAATCGGGCACGAACTTTTGCACTGACCCAATAATTAACTATAATAGGTTCACAGATTTCTGTATGTTCCCTTCATCGAATGTTGTCACTACACAATGCCGAGTCAGAATTCCAGGAACTACACACAGAACACGAAATTTGATATTTGTAACCATCGTGTCAATCCTGACCGTATCAACCTTCGAAGACCGGAGGTACCACGGCCCACAATCTCTAGCTGAGAGGATTGTGCAGTCAAGAATCTGAAAACCATTCGTCAGGCGGAGATGCGTGTTAACGAACAGGGCACCCTTCTATACAACAGCACGGAGAACATGGTCAAGTGTGACTATTACATAAACCTAGGAGAACCATACAAGAGCTGAGAATACCGCCAGATGTCGATGCACTGTCAGGTCCTCAAGAATCGGGCCTACGACACGTCCTTGTGCATAGTATGCTGTACCCAGGTACTGCAGATCAACAACAAAACAGACTGTAGATGATGTGTACAGGCCTGACCAAGGATTTCCACCTACCGCCTTCTCACTGATAATGGGACCTGCACCCTCGCAAGAACAGAGTCTCGCACAATAACAGTATTGATGATATCATAAGAACACCCTGTCCTATCACCCATATTCAAACTTATTGTAACATTTAGTAAGAGCATTGTTAAATATTCATCTAATAATTCATATCCACACCTCATTGCGAAAATACGATATTTCAAGTCTTCTATAATAATCATTACCAATATTGTCATTTACCTCTACTGCTACTAACGAATTGGTCACAAATATTGTATCATCGTTTACGATAATTCACGTCGCCCATTCATTATTGCGATCACTCATAACTGCGATTTCATTTAAATATAAGTCATACTCGTCTAAAAATGCGCAATGCACAGAGGATAATCTCGAAAAAGTCTCTCGAGACTATTTCGAGTCTAAGGTGGGGGATGCTATATCCTGTATTTCATAACCTCTTTCCGTTGCACATTTTTACCATGTTACTTCACAACGCGAAGAACGAGCAGAAATCATTAATTCAGCGATACGTAGCAACAAAGTGATTATCCCCTTTTTTCGGAACGCTGACGGAAACGTCAGCGATTTTATCACCTCGTTTTCGAGACCATCGGGAATCACAGCCTGTTGCTACCCCGTATCTTGCGCGTTTCCCAACAAAAGGAAAGGGGAAAGAACACATAAAAGGGATTGTTCAAAACCAGGTTAGGCTGTCAACAGTCAAAGAGGGTCAAAGGACAGAGTCAGAGTGTGTCAGTCTGTCAGTAAGTTGAGGCTCATATTCGGCAGTCGTGCCAGACGGTGCTTCGTCGGCAAGCTGAGCGACAACGGTCACTCAGCTGTTCAGATCGGGTTTCGCGACGATATCTCTTCCGTGTGCGACGCGACTTTGCGATTACGCGCGGCCTAACAGGCGAGTTCGATAAGACACCGGACCACGAAGTGTGACGTCCGAGACAGTGACAACGTATCCCGCAGTGCCCGACCCCTGCATCACGGCTCCGAGCGCCAGCAAGTCTTCCGCCCTTACAAGGAGCCGTAATCCCGATCAAACCGACTGAAACCGAACGAGCGTATCATTCATCTTCATCACCATTGGTATGTTAAGACTTATTTGTATCTTTTATTTTTATTTGGATTGTTAGAATATATCTTATTATTGTTATAAACGAGAGTGATTTCCTATTCCTCCCGTTCCAAATCCAAACCGCGTACTTCACCGATAAGTTTAGACAGGGCGTGCTTTAGCACCTTAAAAGAGCCAGGACCCGAAATTATAAGTAAAGTAACGACCGCAACGCGGGACGTAACATGTGCGACTCGTTAGTAATGCCTAGTTGACACCTAACGAGCACTCGGCCGAGAGAACCGGCGAGTGAACGTACTCGGCCGAGTACTGACGAAGTTTGAACGCAACACTCTAACACTCAGCCTAGTAATTCGGCGAGACAATCGACGATCAAATAAATAAAAGCGTCCTCTATTCACTAGACCGAATATCCCCACTTCCCTTCATTATGACACGGACACAACAGTCGAAAATTGCGTAAAAATAGAAGCATCCTTTTCCATTGTGTACGGGTGATCCCACGCCAAGCAGATGACATTTGCACACGATGTTTGGGACTTCGCTGAAATTAAAAATATGTTATAGTTGATGTGAAAATAGGGAGGGGGCGTTTAAGCTATCATACTGCTAGTTTCGAAACCGTTTAAAAAATACAGACACTCAAATTTGGCGGTTTTGACTGATTCTTAAAAAACTACCTCGCAAAAGAATTTGTATCTCCGCAATTATTAAAGAAACAGCCTTGATTTTTTTCATTTTAATCGTGAAGGATCGTTCTCTTTAACTAATTTTTTGTTTTATGTTTAAAGTTATTTTTACAAGGCAAAAATAGATCAAATTTATTCTACAAATTTCCCCACTGGATCGCGACCAAAAAGTTTTGAAATAAGCATGTATATATTCTGTCCTTTTTAAAAGTAATGTTCTTAATTCGCGGACACTCTACAATTGAGGTTGGAACAAGCTAAAAAAGTTCGCGGTGACTGATGGTTCACCGTCCATGGTTTTGCCTTAACCCGTTACGTCAGGTGTGGGCAACTCAGCGCCCGCCAAACTCACTAGCGGGCAACGGCGTGTAGCCTGCGAGCACATAGCAGTAGTGGGGGAAATCTGTGAGTGAGAGCGCGGTTTTTTGATCCGCTATGACTTATCTATCACTCATTTCACACAAATATGTCGTGACGTTTCCTGCCTCGCATCCCCTCCATAGGAGCACGCGGCTGCCCGCCAGCTCGCCCGTGTGGGCAGCGTGCCCGAGCGGGCGCAGTTGCCCATCACTGCCTTAAGGAAATGACGAGTCTCGCCCGCATACATTTTCTGTGCCAAACTCGACTTTGACGAGCGACGCCCGCCGCATATTTTAATGTTTAAAAACCACATTTCTTCTAGCTTGTAAAAGAAAAAGTATTATGATATTTACACATTCCCTTGCCTGTTTTTCTATCTAAAATTGTCTCATTGTAGGTAGCGGTAGCTAGACGTTTTGTGATAACTCCGCACACACAGTTGCGCTAAATTGAATTGTCTACACACGCACGTCCCTTTGAAAGTAAATCGTAAGGCAAGGGGTAAACTAATATCGTCTATAGTCTATAGCACAACGGACATCAGGATTTGAGAGTCTAAACTCCGTTCCACGTAAGAATAACCTCGTTTCGCGCTTGGGACAGGAACTAAGACCGTTCATTGGTAGAACATCGACCGAGATAGCGAGCTACAGTAGACATTCGTTTCCCGCACTAGTCGGGGCTGTAGCGAGTCAGAATTACAGGAATCGTGCAGGAAGTAAACGCCAGGTACCCGAGCGCTTTCCCCACCACTCGGCCGTTCAGTCGTGCGACGCGGCTACATATAGGATGGGCTGGATATGCGCACTTTACGGTTACATTAATGATCTCCATTATTTTTAGAGATATCAAAAAAGTTTATTCACAGATGTTTTTTAGTATGAAGAGGGCTATTATCTTAGCAGTAACAAGTTTTTCGTAGGTGGAGTATCTTCTAAATTTTCAAAGTTAATTATGTTATTTTTATTAATGATATTGAAATATTATGGAATAAAATATTTATTACATAAATCAATTCTTCCAAACATTCTGCGTAATAAAGTATTAAGGTATTATGTGAAAAAGGTAATGATTCGTGACATATTTTACATACAATATTTGAAATATGTCACGAATTCTTATGTAACTGCTACTCAACCTACAAGAAAGTTATTGTTGCTATGTTATGGTCCCTCTGATAGCATTTAACTACTGTACTTTCTCATCGCTTGATGTGAAATGAAAATGCCACCAATATTCATACAGTTGTAAGCGAAATTGTCCTTCAAACAAAACATTCAAATGTGTCGTTGAATTCGTCTTCAAATGCTTTTAAGACGACAGTAAATAAAATATGTAGTTCCATTGTCAAAAAGTTACATTGGTATTAGAATCTATGTAAATAACATTAGTAGAAAATTTCAAATATTCTATTAAGTTTACTTCATGCAATCAAACAGTTTTCATATGAAACATTTTTTCGCATTTTCAATGGTTACTGAAATAATAGCGTGTATATAGTTAAACCGGATATTCTGTACATATTATTTTACCATTTTTTCAGTTTCTATGGTTAAACACTTAGTTATACCTTATACTTGTTGCGTAATTTTTACAGGTTTAGCTGCTTACATAAATATTTATATTCATTATGAATGAAAAATAATATGAAATGTAGTTGATTATAACTGGAAGTATTTAAAAACATTGCAACATTTCATTAAAACAGTATTATATACACTGCGCTTTCCGTGATGAGATATACGAGTTAAACGCGACACCGTATGTGTTCCGGCCTGGGCGTTCTGGCGGCAGAGTAGGGTACGCACGCGTTTGTGAGAAATACGTGTGAGCAAGGGGCATGGCTTTCGTGCAAATAACAGTGGCGCGGGAAGCGAATGTCTAGTGTACAAGCAATCGCATGCGTCCGAATCAGTCGGTAGTAGTGGGGGCTGCGCAAGCGTGAGGTTATTCTTACATGGAACGGAGTTTAGACACTCGCATTGGATTATATTGGTTTGATTTTACCGCGACGGCCACCTCGCCGCTATCCTCGTTCTACTTCGCTTCACTACATTCATAGCCTTACAGCTAAGGATACTCAATAGTCAGTTAAGGACGTATATACAGGGTGTCCCCAAATAGGTGTCAGTCC